AAGAGGAAGGAGAAGAAGAAGAAGAAGAAGAAGAAGAAGAAGAAGAAGAAGTATAAGAAGAGGAGGAGGAGGAGGAGGAGGAGGAGGAGGAGGAGAACGTCCCTCCATAGCTCATGTCTTTCGCGGTTCTTAAACTGCTTCGCTCTCCTGCTGTAACGAAACGGAGACATTCTGCCTACGCACTGCACGCTCCTTGAAACGTCTCTCGTTCAGTTTGCCGAAGTACTATTCCCCGCACATGTTGCCTGACCCGGAGCTGTCTTAAGACATAAGTCGGGACATCTGCCACACATGACTGGGCATTCTGGTCAAGACGACTGTCAGCCAAAGAGGCGCCATTATCATCATCATCGTCAGCAGCAGCAGCAGCAGCCTTGTACTTTTATAAGCTGGGATTTCATAGGATGCATAAGCATGGAGCACCAGTCAAGTGGGTTTTTGCCTTAATCCATCGTCACCTCACTGCAAATCATAATTACGAACGGACTGGCCTTTTCGCATGGCTTGAACTCCAAGGGAACATGCTAATAAGAATCATTCAGTTTTCGACTGAAAAGTCCTATGTTAATTCCGGCAGTCTATACAGAAGGGAAGGCAACTGCGTCTGTGTCAGTCTGTCGATTGCGGCGAGTTGAAATGAAACAATCAAAATCGGCAGCAGACATGTCGTATTACCACCACCACCACCACCGTCATCATCATCGGCTGCAAAAGTAGCTGTTGCTTGTTTTGGGACGATCTTATAGAACATAATTTCGACGATAGTAAAGGCCTTGCCTTCGTGCCATCAGTTGATTAGCAACAAAGGCTTGATAACTCCTACCATGGTAGTGCCTGCAACAAAGTCAAACCATCCTTACTGAAGTTAAAATTATCACTTATCCTTCAACACTCTGTCTGGGAAACCAGAAACATAGCTGGCAACCAAATTACGTCCCGCGATTGGCTGTCTGAAATTATTTTCTGGTTATGACATATAATTAAGTTCGGAGAAGTGCGTTTAGAAGTGCACTGCCGGAACGAACTCAATACTCTTACCCAGAGGTATTTTAAAATGTCCAACCAGCCTCCAGAATATGGGCAAATTCATGGGTTGTTATATACCCCGCATGAAGTCTTCGTCTCAATTTGCGTCTGGCGAGTAATCAAGGCATTAAACATTTTAAAACTTGTGCCCACAGCCAAGGCCAGGTACGGAATAAGTGATCCAATGGGCTCGGCGAATAAGCAGTCTTGCAACATGCGCCAGTACTGTCGTCAGTCATGTTAATGTTCACCAGTGCTTGCAACAGGCGTTGTTGTCCTCTTTGATTGTTCCTGATGAAACTACGCATGGGGGAATTTGTTCCACACACGAAACGTCAGTGATTTGGTTTGCGAAGGAGTTTCCCCCACTGCCGTTGCCCCCCCCCCTGTTTTCGCGCGGGTGTTTGCAGCGGCCTAAGTCATAAAGTGGGACATTCGTCAAAATTTGCCCGGCATTCCGACCTGGACGACTGTCAGTCGCAGGGTGATAATCAGCTTCGTCCTCAGGGGCTTTACCATCCTAAGCATCCTCATCACCAACATCAGCAGCAGCGGCAGCCTTGATTTGTGTCGGTCTTAGTAAGCATCATTCCTGCGAAATAAAAGATCCTCCTGCGGGCTATGACGCAGTGCTAATTTGGTGCTTTCTGTTCGGCAGCTTTTGCTACTCCAAATTCTGCAGCAGACTTCAAGGCTGAATCATCATTTCTCCAGATGCCGCATGCATAAGAATTGATAGATTTAGATCCGGATTAATGGGGAAGAGCGCTTGACCTTCGATCTGAGTGTTTAGTTCGTGCACTTACTCCAACGAGTGACCGCGAGCAGCTGCCTTTTTTTCTCCTCACTCCAAATGTATGCACAATGGCAAAACAGGTGCTACTTAAATGACTTCGAATAAAAGAAGGTGCGAGTGAATGCCAATGTAGGGCCGTGCATGAACCGTAATGAGGCCCATGTATGGCACGCGTTATAATAAGGCGGCGTCCTGCTAGCACTACTGTGCCAGGTCCTATTCCTTTCGGATTTACTTGGAGAAACCACTCATGTGTGGGATTGAGGAGAGAGGCAGTGAGATCCGTTCAGCCCAGATTGAGCGGCTAATTCATCACTACAAAAAATCGTGCCTGTCTTAAAATTACCACAACGCACCAGCAGTCGTGGCCGTCAGGGTGGCAAGGGGGTGTGATAACCACATGTCCGAAGCCCGTGTCCAACAGGCTTCAGACGATGGCTTCCCGTCACCTCAGCTACTCTGCCCAGTCTCATCTCCACTCGGTACTGTGTGTTCTCCACCCTAACCTACCCCCTTTTCCCTCTATTTTACACAGGTCTTCGACATTCGCCAGTGCTATGAACAAATGAAACAACTGGCGCACATGGCGCAGGCGGCAGCAGTTCGCCAGGCCGCTGCCGTGGTCGGATCAATGCCCACTGCGTCCGCTGCTGCTGCTGCTGCAGCTGCTGCTGCGGTCCTGCCAGGCGCCGGTGACCCCACCACCTCCAGCATGCTGAGCACCTGTGAAGCCGCCGGTGTCGGAGTGGACGATCTGCGCCGTCTCTGCATGCTGCGTTTGAGCTTTGTGAAGGGTTGGGGACCCGACTACCCTCGCCACAACATCAAAGAGACACCCTGTTGGATTGAGATTCAACTTCATAGGTGAGCGTCGGACGGGGGGTGGGGCGGGCGGCGGGAGGGGAGATGGGATTGTTATGTGACTGCTTCACTACGCATATTAAGTTAGAAACGGTCACTCCATGCCAGTATTTCCCCACCCTTGACCGAGGGCTTTGTAGTCAGCAAAGGGGAGATAGAGGGGAGACAGTAGCGCTGAGGCGTCGATGCCAACCAATTGCCATCTCGACCACAGATTTCAATCCATCAGAACCCGATCTAGGGCGGCGGATTCATGTGAACACGTCTGGTAAGCCAGTGTCTGGGGCACTGGTCAAGGTGCGTTACACATGCATGTCACACCTCCACCAAGCCCACTCTACGACACAGTACACGTGCATACACGATAGTAAGCACTTAAATATCAAGCAGCGATTGCTGCATTGTCACAGCCCCCAACCCCTGTTCGTGCTCAGACTGTCCTCACGTATTCAGACATTGAGAATGGGCCTTGCGTTTATATGCGCATACATTAGCAGTGCAATGGTCAATGCGAAATTTGGTTGTGACGTTTGCAGACGTCGGTGGCCGTGGGTAGACAGCAATTTGTGCGTGCGTGCGTGCGTGCGTGCGTGCATGTATGCGCCTGGCTCACGTCACATCGACCACTGCGCGCAGTATGATCTTCAGTCGGCAGGACGAGAGGAGCACGCCCAATAACATCTTCGGTAAGCGCACTTCTGACAGGACGATGGGTCCGTGGCCTTGTGGCCGAATACCACCAGTACTACTACCACCACTACTACTACTATCACTACTACTATCACTACTACTACTACCACTACTACTACCAATACTAATACTATCACTACTACTACTACGCGCAGTATGATCTTCAGTCGGCAGGACGGGAGGAGCACGTCCAGTAACCTGATTGTTAACCGTTCTTCGGTCAGGATGACCAGTCCGTGGCTTTGTGGCCGAATACCATCACCACCATCATCACCATCACCACCACCATCACCACCACCACCACCACTACTACTACTACTACTCAATTACTTCGGAACCTTCGTTTAGATCCCACGCAATGGAGACCTAGGTTTGGGCATGGTTTGCCGAGGAGGGCTAATAAACTTGACATGGACACTCCGGCCCCCCTTGTTGCGAATGCCTACGAGCCCCAAATCTTAACAGGGCGAGTAGATCCCTTGGCGCAATCGGTGAGCGTCCTCCGGCATACTTAATATACTCGATGGCTACCGCCAGGACCACGAACCCGTGGGTCGATGGTCTAAACGTTGGTCTTCTAACCAACAAGACGCGGGTTCGGACCTTGGAATGGCCATTTTGGTCTCCCTTATCTTATCGGTATACATTCGGCAGATTGGCGCTCACTCGCCCCGTTGTGCTATGGGGCTCTCTCTCTCTCTCGAGCTCCGTCAGCGGCAGCAGCAGAATAGCATTACCGAGCCCGTGGCTCAGTGGTTAGAGGCGTTAAACTTCCAACCTACAGATTGAGTGATCTAGCCTCGGGGATTGCGCACTTCAGGGTTGAGTATGCCTGGCTGACGACGGCTTATAAGCCAGAAATTACCATTTCAGTTTCCCTTGTCTTTGTCGGTAATGCCATTCTGCCTATAAAGAATAGTCCTAATCACAACCAAACAGGACAACGGACCCGCAGCCCAAAGGTAGTGTTAAACCGATAACCAAAGATCCGGGGTTTGCATGTCGAGTGATCCAACGGCTGCTCCTTACCGACTCCCATCCTGAACCGAAGTCCATTCCGAGTCGAGACGACCAAAGGAGAGGTAGAACGCACTTCCTAATGGAGCAAGAGGACCCACATCTTGTGCCTGTCATGCATCCGTTCGGCACCCTTTAGGGTGTGACTCAATGCATGCTTTGAGGTCCAGACGGAAGCCAGAGACTCATGGATCATGGGCCACAAATTTACAGGGGATTTGAAAAACTGGACTCAAAATTTGGGTTGGCTGCGGATGCAGATGAAGTGTGACTGCTCACATGCACACAAAACTGTGGAAGCGAGAGGGAGAGAGCGAGAGCGAGAGAGAGAGAGAGAGAGCAGGAATCCGCTTTATTTTGAATTATTAAATTATAAATTCAAACTTTCCAGCATAAATGGGTTCCATTCACTGTGGACACATAATAACTTAACAAATTAATTTAGGAGTCAAACGTTTTGCACAAAAAGGAACGACTATTATGGGGACAGTTTTAGTCTTAGTTTCTGCATTTCTGTCTCTTCACACGCCATATAGTGCTCCAGGAATGGCAATACTGAATGTTGAAATGCCGGCCAAAGGTATCGGAAATGCCGTCTTAGGGACAGGTGGGCAGGCGGGAGGTCGGTGTAGGCGGTTAACGAAAGTATTTCCACTACCCCACGACTGAATTTGATCCCCATTAAACCATTGAATTTAGAAAGGGAATTCCTGCCATCCTTCATTAACAGTCTACTGCAGAGTCTACCTTCGCTGTCCTGTAGATCACTTTATATCTAGACGATTTTCTTTTTCGGTTGAATCTGAATTTCTTATTTTTATAGTCAGATGTCTTCACTATCGTCTAACAACAATAGCGTATTTATCCTTCAGAGTATATCACCGGACCTTGAAGTTTAAAAGTAAAATTTATGTTCGGTAGGAGACTACGCAACCATTAAATCGATTCGGCAGATTCGCAAGTGAATCGTCACCGTAAGTGCACGGGTTATAATCCTCTCGGGGGGTTCGTTTATCATTGAAAATTTTGCCCTTTTGCAAACCCTTCCTTCACAAGCGATGCTTAAACTGATAGGTTAAAACAAGCCAATTAGTCGCATGCGCAGCAGACGTAATCGGAACGTAGGTTGTAAATCAACCGAGTTGGTATACGGGTGGTTAAATTTGTCTAGCCTGGGTATGCTGATATGCAGTTAGGGAGGCCACGATAATTTTGCAGGGGCGTATAGTGGTCAACGAGGGATATAATACCGGACACTCTTATTTTGCAGAGACGTAAAAAGTGGTATTCATCCCCCTAGGAGAAGTCGCACCAGAAGTAGTTTGCAATCGAACAGTTCCTGTTCCGAAACATCCAGCGGACAGAAAGGTACGATTGGCGGTCTAGTTCATGAAAAAACTAACTGAAATTGGAAATCATAATCAAGATTAAAAATAAGTATTTCAGTTGTGTTAGAATATTGGTTGTCATGCAGTTCAATTTCAAGGATGCCGGCATTTGAATGTGTATCTCCTCAACCGCCTACAGTTAATACTAAAGTAAACGGACTTCTTTTACCGCTTTTTGATGCCATAATCAATCCAAAAGAAATCGGTGGAAGATATGCACAAAAACACTGCTGTTATTCGCATCTTGTAGTAAACTACATCTTCGAATTTCCTATCCGAATTAAGTTCATGAAAAGTTTGCAACTATGAGCTTTTTTAAGACCGTGGAATGTTTTTTTCGAATCGTATCTGTCCCACTAGTGATACTTTTTGAAGTAAACAACGTGACCATATTCTCCGAAAGGTTGTTTGATGCCTACATCGGATCTTCTGATGTGTGATTTTTCTTAAACGGGAGATGTACAGTTTGTGCATTGGAAAACTGCAAAATTGCAATAGCTGGCCTGCCTCAAAAGCATTACAGGATTGAAAAAGTTTTCCCGTGGTGGAAAACATTCTTTCTTCGAGTGGGACAGTTGGAAGACTAGCTTATCACAGAATTCGCACAAAAAAGCTATTTTAGTACGTAATTCACATGAAATACTTTTGTACTGATAAACGCATGGAAAACCGACGAAACACGCTCATTTTGCTTAAGTACTAAAATGTTAACTGGACGAGCATTTTGCGGACGACTGGAATTACGTGAATCCAGACGTCGGCATCTTGGTGTGGTTATAGTATTTTTAATTTATACCGCCTACTAGTCAGTATCCCAACTGCACCCAAATAATCTATCCTAACCCCGACCATCGTACGGAATCCATGTTAGTCCTTCATGAGCTACGTTGCGATGGCGCGATTGTCTGATAGTTGAATTTATCCGCCTGCGCCCTTCCCCGTCTCTGGTCTCCTTGACACCGTCCTGATACCGGACCCAATTGGTGGGGAGTGAGTGTGGTGGGCGCTGCGAAAGTCTGATATCATTACAAACAAATTCATATGCAAGTCACTGTGCCTGCTCTCATCTTGCAGTGGAGCACACGCTGGGCATCGTCGCATGCGACGGCCGAACTATCGTCGTCGCCGCGTTACGTCACGACCCAACTTCATGAAAACGATGACAAGAAACTAAATCCGTGAGGCACGCTTAATACCGACGACTTGCGCTTCTGAGTGATGAGACACCCCATCGAAGGTCAGCATGGAGCTTTTCGAGCTGGCCGGCGGTGCAGTAGTGGTTCTAACATGACCCCATGTTTCATGCACTTCACGGCAAACTGCAAAATTCAAACTTGTCGAAACGGGTAGCGTTGGCGTGCAGGGCCTCAAGTCTGCGCCGTCTCGCTCATAATTTTTATTGATAAGTTACTGAGAGGCCGCATCCTCGCGAGCCTTCCTCAGCCTATGCACAGCATTGGTGTCACGACACCTTGCGAGTTGGGATTGGATGGTTCCGTTCGGGTCTCAAGGAACGTAAGCGCCTGCTATCCAGTGATCAGCAAATCATGGCCCTAGCAGCCGGTTATGCGCTGGCATCCCTCTGACACCAGCTTCCCTGCCGGGAGATGCGCTTGCGCTCCCGCTGGGTATGCAGGTCGTGAGCATGGCTGCCCCTGTCAGCCTAGTTGTCTTTCTGACCCATTTTGTTGTCGTTGCTTAAAATCTTGGTCAGGTGTCTGTCGTGGGCCAGGGGGTGTGGAGTGGAGCGCCAAGGTGCCGGCTCGACCATGACGGCCACCTGCGCCCTCCCCCGCCTCCGCTTTTCTTCACTATGTCTTGACACCGGGTCCAAGTGGGGGGAGGGAAGAGCGCGGTTGATGCAGCGCAAGTCTACTCTCACTATAAACTAATTAAGGTGCAAGTCGCCTTGCCTGCTTTCACCTTGCTGTGGAGCACATAGTGTGGACATCATCGGGCACAACGGTCGAACTGTCGGGTGGTACCGGCTGACCTCACATCTCAGTCCGCTGCACTGCGAGCTAGGCAGTACACTGGCTCCTCCACAAAGCGGCTATGCGCGGCACATCACACCTGTCTGGAATCGCATAAGGAAAATCATATCTTCCTCTGTGCCTTTAAGAAGATGCCACATATAATTCATGAAATTTTGCAATGGATCCGGACCGTGTTGTACGTTTCATGAGGAGGATTAGTAAACGGGCATGTGCGGTCTTGCATGTATGGACATCGCACGGTCTTCAAAATCTCATAAATATAAACTTTTTAAAACCTAAATATAAACTTTCTTCGTGCATAAAATGTGAAGACAATGTGATTTCCTACGAAATTAGCAAAAGAAAGAGTATTTTTGTGCATGTTTTCTGTAAAATATATTTTAATTTATAAGACTACCGAAACTTAATAGGAAAAATGCATGCTATTTAAGTAGTCATTTTTTACCGAGTGTGGTTTCTGCAGGAGGTCAAAAAGAAGTGCACTTAAAAGCCGATATGCTGGCGAGTCCGAAATGTTATAGGGTTATGCTTCATGGTAATCAGTATAACAACCCAACTTAAGTAATCCTTCCTAATCGGAAACGCATTCCAGAATTCTGGCCAACATTTCATGAGATCGGTTACGCACTGTAGGTTGGAAGAGGCTACTGCGCTCAGGCCCGTCTCCAGTCCAGTCCGCCTCCTCCTCCTGCTATTTTAACCCGACCAGTGAGAGAGGACGAAATGGCCTGGATGCTGTTCAAGTCATCCACTTACAGGCCACAATCTCCCCCTACTGAAGGTGGTTACCATGGCTTCCGCCTTCTCAAAGCGACAAGGGTCAGCGCTATTTCGCAACACTCGGCGTGAAGTCTGAGACACTGAAGTCTGCGATGCTGGAGGAGCGTCTGAGGATTCACCACGGGCTTCACGAAGAAACCGCGTTTGACAACCAACGACCAAGACTGCCTACCCCCTCCGCAGCCATGAAGCAGAGTTCCTGTCTCATCGCAGACTTCCAAGGGGAGGTAGTGGCCCATCGCGGACAGGCTATTGATTCTCTGGCCCGGAGTTCGCATTCCCCGCACTGTCTTCAACGACATGGTGCTGGAAATGCGACAGTGTAACACGGAATTGACAGCAAACATGTTTACCTTTCCGATGTGCAAAGCAACGAAAACAGTAAGGCGAGTATGCGTACACGCAAAATACAAACACACTGACGCCAGGGCGTCGTAAAAAGTCTCACACTGAGGCCAGGGCGCAGGGATAAATAAGAAAGCCAGCAGAGGAGAGGAAGAGAACCGTTCTCTCTCGGGCATCACCCTCATCCCTTCCACCTCCCAGCCCCCACCCCCTCCACGGCAGTGTATTCCAGGGTGAAATGGAATCAGCTGTCCGGAAATCAGGCAGGCTGGAACGATTGATGCACACACCCTCGCCAGGAACTTTACAATATGCGCGTACGTGTGTCGACAGGCATCTCCGTGGGCGATGTTGATCGCGGCGGTAGAATTGTCAGTAGTCGCGACATGACCAACCACAACGCACAGGCGGTCCTGAAGAGTAAAAGTATGGGGATGGCGGGGGGACTAGCAGACAGCGATTAGCCAACCGCGAAGGGTTAGCGGGAGGATGCGGGAGGCGGAGGCGGAGGAGGAGCAGGTGAAAAGTTCTACATGAGAGCAGCCGGAGTTCGGAGTTGGGTGGGGACATCCAGACGAGAGCCGAGTAGCAGTCATCCGCCCCCCCCCCCCGGGGTGGTGTCGGTATGAGTGAGGGGGCTCAGTCCGCAGTTCTTGCGGTCCGGAGAAGTAAAAGAGAAGAGGAGAGGGAGTAAAGTGGATGTATGCGCGTCAACGTGATTGTACAGACATATGCATGTGTGGCTGGGCGGAATTGACATGACGGCAGCACAGGTCGTTACCGTTTGGGGTGAAGGGGCTGGTTCTGGTAGTATGAAAAGAAATGACGAGTAGGTTTGAGGTCATTCAGCGGCATTGCCTGTAGAACTTCATCCAGGAGTTGAAGTGGTCTAAAAGGAAGACATGGGGCAGGTCAACAGAGTGTGAAGAGGCTGCAAAAAAAAGATGCGAAGTAGCACACCGGCAACGAAACCGTGCCGATTCAGAGCTGCATTTGTCCCTTGCATGTTTGGGTGGAAAATACTGTGCGAGGTCAAACAGAATGCAGGTGAGTGCGGGCGCTAGATCGGTTGGCCGAGACAGCTCTACCAAGGAGGTCAAACATGTGACGTTAGGGATGCTCTTCTGTGTTGCTACGAATCGTTTTACCGTACGTGAGCCATGTGGCAAATGCCGCAGTAAAATAGTTTTAGTGCGGAGTCTATCATAACCCAGTTTGTCGCAAGTGTTCGCGTCCAATCAGAACGCCACATAATGTGCCCAAACAGAAAAATGATTTGGGTTCTTAAAGGCCTGTAAAAGCCGTAGGACGTGTCATCTTCCGTGAGGTTTTCCGAAAAAATGAAAGGCTTCGCACTTGCAAGGAAGTTTGTGTGGTCGGAATTGGATGGATTGTTTGTGCTGCCGAATTCTTGAATGTGTTTTCGATTCGAAAAGACTACCAAATCAGGATTGTAATATTGATTATCGTGCAGCGTAATCCAAAGATAACTCAGTCACGCGAGGGTGTCGGCTTGCATTTTGGAAACCCTGAATAAAAGTGTAATGCCAATGGGATTCAAAATAGTTCCAAAATCTAGGAGCATTTAAAATCGAAGTATACCCTATCTTCAAGCACGCCATCTAAAATCACGTAAATTGCTGCCAAATAAGCATGGAGAGGAATATTTTGTGTACGTTGGTTACTAAATGTACATGAATTTACAAGAACGCCTAAATCAACAGTAAAGTGTCCTAAAACTTGAAGTAGATGTGTGGCTCATGAAATGTTAACTGAAATTCTGAAATGCGTTTTCGGCTCTAAACAATTACTTAAGTGGGGTTGCAATATTAATCACTGTTCAGCATACTACCGAGATAATTCAGTTGCCTCGGAATGCTGGCTTTTGAACGAACTCCTTTCCGGTCGCCAGCAAAAATTACACTATAAAAATGACCACTTAAGTAATAAGCAATTTTCTCATTTATATTCGATACCTCTATGAATTCAAATATATAGCCTAAAAACATGCGTAAAAATATTCATTCGATAGAAAATTACATCGTCCTCAAATAATATACTTGACGGAAGGGCATAATTCAGTTTAAAAACTTCTCCAGCTTCCGAATAATTTCGACCACGACCTGCTGTTACACTTGCATTCAGGTTTTCCTAACTACAAGCTGTATATTTTCCGTGTACGGAAAGCCATACATTTCTATACGCTTTTTAAGAGGAAACCATATGGGGTCCATAAAATTAAGCAGTGGATCTGAACCATGTTGTGAAATTTACATGCAATATTAGTAAATGCAGAGACACGATGTTTTAAGGGCAAACATTTCAAGCTCTTAAAAAATCTCAGGATTAAACACTTTTTAAAAATCGAATTATACCCTTCTTTCAAGTATAAAATTTAAAGAAGACGTAATTTCCAACCAAATGAGTAAGAGAATGAATATTTTATGCATTTTTCTATGAAATATATTTGAATTTACTATGACATCATGAGAAAAATTCATACTGCTCAAGCAGTTATTTCTTACGGTTATTTTTGTAGGCGGCCGAAAAGAGGCTCGTTCGAAAGAAAGCATCCCGAAGCAAATAAATTATCTTGGGATTATGCTACACGGTTATTAATATTACAACCTTAGTTAAGTAATCGTTTCGCGATAGAAACGTATTTCAGAATTTCGGTTAAAATCTCATGAATTAGCACATCTACTCTACTGGGTCATTCAGTATACTGTTGTTTTTCCAAACAGCCGTAAAGGACATCGTTTAAAAGCCGGCACCCTGAAGTGACTGAAATATCTCAGGATTATGCTGTTTGATTATCAATAGCCCAAGCCAACTTAAGTAATCTGTTCGTATATAGAACAAATTTTAAAATTTTGACCAACATTTCATAAGATAGCACATCCACCAGAAATTAAATGTCCGTTTGCCCAAGAATACTGAGGCTCTCACAATGCAGAAATCAGAAGCTGCAGAAATTCCTTTAGGTAATTCCAAGTTGCTGCCGTTAAAATTATCAGCTGGAAACACCACAAAATTATCAGTTCAACATTGCCAGAATTCAATCACACTCGAAAAGGAGTTCGCAAAAAACTACCTCTCTAAGATAAGGGAGAGTGGAATGGCCATTTCCGGCTTATTTGCCGTCGTCAGCCAGCCATGCCCAACCCCGAGGTGCGCAATCTCTGAGGATCACGCGATCTGATGGTTAGAAGTCCAACGCCTCTAACCACTGAGCCACGGGCTCGGTAATGCTATTTCGCTGCTGCTGACGGAGCTCGAGAGAGAGAGAGAGAGCCCCATAGCACAACGGGACGAGTGAGCGCCAATCCGCCGAATGTATACCGATAAGATACGGGAGACCAAAATGGCCATTCCAAGGTCCGAACCCGCGTCTTGTTGGTTAGAAGGCCAACGTTTAGACCATCGATCCACGGGTTCGTGTTCCTGGCGGTAGCCATCGAGTATATTAACTATGGCGGAGGCGCTCACCGATTGCGTTACAGTACCAACTCGCCCTGATAGGCTTTGGGGCTCGTAGGCATTCGCAACAAGGGGGGCCGGAGTGTCCATCCCAAGTTTACTAGCCCTCTTCAGCTAGCCATACCTAGCCCCAGGTCTCGATGTACTGGGATTTGAACGCGGATTTCTTAGTAATTGGGCAATATTACTAGTAGTAGTAGTAGTAGTAGTAGTAGTAGTAGTAGTGGTGGTGGTAGTAGTAGTAGTAGTAGTAGTAGTAGTAGTAGTAGTAGTAGTAGTAGTAGTAGTAGTAGTAGTAGTAGTAGTAGTAGTAGTAGTAGTAGTAGTAGTAGTAGTAGTAGTAGTAGTAGTAGTAGTAGTAGTAGTAGTAGTAGTAGTAGTAGTAGTAGTGGTATTCGACCACAAAGCCATGGACCCACCGTCCTGTCAGAAGGGCGTTTACCGAACAGGTTACTGCGCGTGCTCCTCTCGTCCTGCCGACTGAAGATCATATTGCACGCAGTGGTCAATGTGACGTGAGGCAGGTGCATATACGCACGCACGCACGCACAAACTGCTGTCTACCCACGGTCTCCGACGTCTGCAAACGTCACAACCAAATTTCGCATTGATGATTGCAGCGCTAATGTATGCGCATATAAACGCAAGGTCCATTCCCAATGACTGAATATGCGAGGACAGCCTGAGCACGAACAGGGGCTTGTGGGGTGGCGACAATGCAGCAATCGCTGCGTGATATTTAAGTGCACACTATCGTGTATGCACATGTACTGTGTCGTAGAGTGGGCTTGATGGAGGTCTGACATGCATGTGTAACGCATCTTGACCAGCGCCCCAGACACTGGCTCGGCAGACGCATTAAGATGCATCGCCGGCATAGACCGGGGTTCTGATGGATTGAAATGTGTGGTCCAGATGGCAATTGGTTGGCACCGATGCCTCATTGCTAATGTCTCCCCTCTATCTCCCCTTTGCTGACTACAAAGGCCTCGGTCAAGGGTGGGGAAATACTGGCAGGGAATGACCATTTCTAACTTAATAGGCTCAGTCAAACAGTAACATAACAAACCCCTCTCCCCTCCCGCCCCCGCCCAACCGCCCCGTCCGACGCTCACCTATGAAGTTGAATCTCAATCCAGCAGGGTGTCTCTTTGATGTTGTGGCGAGGGTAGTCGGGTCCCCAACCCTTCACAAAGCTCAGACGCAGCATGCAGAGACGGCGCAGATCGTCCACTCCGACACCGGCAGCTTCACAGGTGCTCAGCATGCTGGAGGTGGTGGGGTCACCGGCGCCTGGCAGGACCGCAGCAGCAGCTGCTGCAGCAGCAGCGGACGCAGTGGGCATTGATCCGACCACGGCAGCGGCCTGACGAACTGCTGCCGCCTGCGCCATGTGTGCCAGCTGTTTCATTTGTTCGTAGCACTGGCGAATGTCGAAGACCTGAGTAAAATGGAAGGAAAAAGGGGTGGAGAGAGGAGGTAGGTTAGGTCGGGGAACACA